CTAGCTCTACTTCCTGACCTGGGAAAGGTTCCCGGAGTTCAGCTGCCGAAAAGTACTTGCACACAGTGGACTCACGCTTACTCTGTGTCCCCAGAAGCTACCAATAATCTGTACACTTACAGCAAAATGTGAACAAATATATTTAGATATATTTAAAAGAATTAAAAAACCATTTCACAAAAACATTTGTTGCCATAGGAATCTTTTTTTAGCAATAAATGCCCACATCAAAATTTAAACATTGTTCAAAGTATGATTATCTGTACTAATAAGTTATGCAACAAATTATGTAAACAGAGTCAGATACATTGCACTGCAGGAGTCACTGGCCTTACTGGGATTGAAGCTGCCCCGTACATTTCTTCAGGGACCAATTAAGAAACTGCTATTTCCAGAGCAACAAAAATAAAAGCTTTATTTGTTCATTTGAATATAAAACAGGCGTTATCACAGATGTACAAAGCGTACTGGTGGTTTAACATACAAGAAGGTTGCTGTCCTTCGCACATAAAAATTTTGTTTGAAACTGTGATTGGCTGAGTACATGAATTTCTCTAACCAGTCACCACACTCCATGAAATAACGCTGCTAACGTTCAACTGATAAAAGGGACCGTCTTCCCTTGGGTAAAGTGTCAAGCAGGATTAAATATATATAATAAACAAGCACCATGAGGAATCTGCCCCTGTTGGATTAGGTTTGTGTTTCAATGTTCATTGTGTACCCTCTCTTTGTGCAAGTGATTACACGGTTTTGTCTGACTTCAAAAGCACAAGGTCACAAGACAAACATTTTATACATTCTCATGAATGATTTATCTACAGTACAATTTCTAATACAGAACAACCCTTCTTTATTGCTGAAACTGGTGGTACTTAAGTGTCTCGTTCCCCCTTTTCTTGCACAACCGCACTTCAATCCCAAACGCTAACATCAGAGATGACAGGATGCAGATAAGATCGCGGATTGACTGCGGAGCAGCATTTCCCCTCCCTTGAATGTCAAGTTGATATGGTGAAGGCAAAACGTATGCTTGGAGTGACATCTAAAGTGAGTTTTGCTTCCCGACGGGGGCTGGCCATCACAATTTCTCCTGCACACATGCCATTGTTTCATAGTCAGCATCTTCTCTGAAACCCTACCCAATGCTCTCTTCGGTAAGGCGGGGGTGGACGTGAGAAAATGCTTTTGTTCTTGTGTGCGGTGGGGGTCTCTCCCCTTAGGAAGCAGAAGAGGGTAGGAATGTGTGTCTGTAGCATGTAGAGAAATATTCATATGCAGCAAATGAAGTCAAACTATGTGTGTGTGTGTATATATATATATATATATATATTTTTTTTTTAATCCACTGATTTGTGGAGATGGGGGTGGGGTGGGATGCACCAACCCTGTGGCCAAATGAAGAAATGTGCTTCTTAAAACTAATTCAAAACAATCCGCCTTGGATCTTAGAAGTCAAATAAAACTTGGCTTTCTTTCTTTCTTCTTTAGCAAAGGATTTACTGCTGGCTGCATATGGCAAAGGCAGACAAAGACATTGCTGATACAATGAACAGAAGGATCTACATTTTGCCCAGCAACAATCTCAATCATGCATATCTAGGAATGAAAGCCACTGCAGGGTCATCTTGGGGCAAATAGACAAGAAATCACTGGAAGAGAGCTGACACCTCTTTTTTGGTGGGACCAGACAGACCAATTCAATCGAGAAGGGGACAGGTGAGCTCCGGAAACTAAAGCGAATGTGAGGCAGCAGCACAGAAAGTAGGGCGCGCTGCTGATCCACAGGCGGTTGAGGGGCGCGCTCCCATCCTGTCAGGAACCTGGGTTTTGCCGAGGCGAGACGGCTCCCTAGGGATCTGGCTTATGGCCCAGGCTGGGGAACCGCAGAGACCGGAGGTTCTCACACGGCTAGTTGGGCTGCAAGGTGAGGTGACAGTCACCTAGACGAGGCTTTTCTGGACACTGTGGCCACGCCACACAGTAGCCCGCTGGGGGTGGGTGTGGGGTGCGGGATCACTGCACCCCAGTTCACGTGATCATACTGTTCCTTTCCACGCCAAGAACCAAAGAAAAGGTGATACAAATAAAAACGATGAAAATAGTGTGCAACAAATTCTTGCAGCTAAGAATACAGTGCTATTCAACAACCGGCCTTTCCTAAAGTCTATCAAATGTAGTAAGCACATGCCAGCAAAAATTCATTCATTGCCCCCACAGCAACGGAGAGAAAAAAAATTAGTGCACATTTACCCTTAAGTTCCTTCACCATCTCTCAGATGGCAGTCATTTCACTTGCTGGGCTCGGGCATCTAGAAGGACGTGGAGACGGGGCTCCGGGCAACCTGTGCTTGCGCTCCTCAGCAAAGTGTGTGTGAGTAAGTCACTCGATTATCTACAGGACAGTGAGGGGACACCATGCAAGTGACAAGTTCTGCATTTTAAACTTTAAAATCTCCTTTGTTTTCATTAGTGAATTTATATTTCATATATATATATTTGTTGTGATACTATCCACGCAAGATAATACAACACTTTTTTTTATATTAGCAAACATTACAAGACTTTAATATTCTTGAATGTTTTTTTTCTCTTTTATACTTCTAAAGAGATCAAAATAAATTAAACGTTTTGTACATAATTACATATGAAGAAGTTAACTTATTTTATCTTTTTAGTTTAGTACAAAGATATCTGCAAGATAATTGCCGAAATACACCTTATTTATAATTTCTTCTTTCTATGCTAACATCAAAGGCAGTATAGGAGCCTTTGTTTCTTCAGCACATTTCTGACAGAGAAAGCTGCTAGCCTCTAATTGGAAGGTGCTATTTGGAAGGTTTTCTCGTACCTCAACAAACTTTCCTAAAAGGATGAGTTCTAGCAATGGCTGAAATTAGTAACAGATCCATGTCATTAAGAATCCATGACACATTAAAACGAAGAAAACAATTCTTTGTCACACTACATAAATTTGTTTAAAAGAACCCACCGGGAGGGCAGAATATTTTTTAATTGCTATTTCGGCTTAACAAAATACAATGCCACATTGACGAAGAAAGCACTTATTATTCAATAATTAAAAAAAAAAAGGAAGAAAAAAAAGTTTTTGAAATGGGCTTTTCCAACAAACCGAAGGCAGTAATCCCAAAGTCCTTCTGCGCTAAATTCAGTGGTGAATTCACATTTCACGTTTCGTTTCCATGCCAACCCTGACTGCTGGGAAAAGTCATCATCATCATCATCACCATCACAATGAGAAAAGGTCCGATCCTGGTGAATGTTGCCCTTGCATCTGCACACTTTTAGTGGACACCGAGAAAAAAAGTTTACATCTCTAGAAAAGTCCACAGAAGCCAAAGAGACAAGACTACATGTTGTAGGCCACGTAGATGGGATCGAGTTGGTCGGCCAAGAATCCGTCTCGCAGGTGCATACGCTGTTTCTCTCCACGGGAGTTGATAGGAATGACACCAATGTCCACGACCACCACCACTCCCACGATCAGGTAGTGCTCCTCGAGAACCACGTTGGTCACTAAGGGAACCAGGTCCAAGGCTTCTTGCTCTGACCCATCGAGCTCCACCACGACCACCAACAAGTTCGTCCAGGTAAACACGGCGCTGAAAGAGACAACACCCACGGAACGATGACTTGTGACTACAACAAGTAGAGCCGGTTCTGAAAAACAGCTCATCTGTTCTTTCTCAGCGCTTCCTAATTACTTCGGATCTACGTCTGTGTCTCCGTTAAGAGACTCAACTTTCCCTGAAGAACTACGCTGGGGATGGAAAGGAAATGTTGGTATTTCCCACCGGATTTCATGCAGAGGGGCTTGCTTTTTCACGTGCTCTCTGATGTTTTAAATGACTTTCATCTCCTTAGGAGGTGCTGGCTGGGTCAGGCATCTACCACGCAGTTCTGCCTCCTGACTGCTGATTCCCTAATTGGTGCATTCCCTAATTACAGAGTGCTGTGCACTTGCCCTCACCCTAACCCACTGCATCTATTTCTAGCTCCCACTGTTGTGGTGCTTGCCAGCGAGGTGAGGGATAGGGATGCTCTGGGCTACTAGCCTTCACCTTCACCTCTCTCTAAACTGCTCAACACTGTCATATCACGTTGAAGACCCTGCTAATAGATGTGTACGGCATTCCCCCACCCTTGGACAACATATGGGGAAGACCCACCTGCACCTCACCCCCACCCCCGATATTCAGCTCTATCTCTTGGTCAATGAGATGTTAGCAGAAGGGATGTAGGCCAAGGCCTGGAACCCCCCCGAGGGTTTGGGCTTGCCCTGTTGCGCCTCTGCCATTACCATGAGAGGAACAAGCTGGAATGAGGGAGGGGGATAGGAAATGTGTGGACACGAGGGGCTCCCGCCCTTCAGCTGACGTGGACGCCGCCCCTTGAACACTGACACTCAGCCACAAAACCCAGTTGGCTGGCAGACAGGGGAACAGACCCTGGTGATTTGTTTTAAAGTACTGAGTTTCAGAATGACTAGTCATACAGTAATAACTAACTCCTCTGGGGCTATTCATGGAGATTTCTCTGTCTCTTTCAAGACAACACTGCATCTAAAACTAGGTTCTATTTGGCATCAAGTACTTTTCAGTGACATTTGGTTTGGTCAGTTTGCCAATGATTAAGCCCAAATGCCTAACATTTTAGACATTAAGCTTATAGGGTTGGGCTTTTGTTTAATGATTGTTTTAAGGATAATGATGTCTTGTAAGAGATGAAAGCTGTAATCGTGGCCCCTGGTGACCACAGGAGACCTAGGGCTGCAGAGGTCAAAGGGGATCACTGGGCAGAAAGGGTTGGACCACAGACCAGTTAGGGCTCTTCAGCAGTGGGCTGGTGGACACCTGCTCTTTCTTGCCCAGACACACTGTGGACTTCATCCAGCCTGTAAACCAGGGGGCATTTGGGAATACTCACTAGTGTTTTCTACAAGTCTGAGAGCAAGTGTGCTAAGGGAAAATGCATAATATGTTCAGTATGGTTAGTATACACATTAAAATGGAAAGGAAGTATTGGAGGATGAGTTCAACAGCTCTCTCCGGCTGGATTTTGCGTTGGGGGGCAGTGCATACACTTAACGAGAGCAATGCTGGAGAACTGTTCCCGAGCAAGTGCCGAGCTCTTTGTGACAGTAAAGCCTGGCTCGATCTGCCCCCAAAGGAGTCCATGTTGTAATTGTCTGAGCTTTCACAACCCTCTCAGCCACACTTGCTGTGGTTTGGTTACAGCACTGGAACTTCTGACATGTTTTGTTGGTCTCGGGAATCAGACTGGACTTGTGTATTTCAGCTCGTCTAATCTTGTAAAAGCCTATTTGCTTTCCTCTTGGCCCCTGGCTTCCCCAGGAAGTTCTGGACTGCAGGTAACTTTCTCTCAGAACTTTCTCAGGGACTAGGGGCCAGTTTATACACAGCATCTTCTGCACCCCAGGTGAGGAAGAACTGACATGTTTCGTATGCTCGGTTAATAAAAAATAGCTTATCAGAAAGGACAAGATCGGGCCAGCTGGGATTATCTGGCAGTGAAAGAAAGAGCGGCACGGTGCAGCTTCATTCCCAGCACGGGAACGCTGGCTTCTTGGCATGAGGTCATTAACGGGGAAGCACTGGCAAGGAGTCCCACACGCATGTTTAGAAAGCAAGCAGGGGTGTGGATAAATTAGTGGAGAACTGCTCCGGATGAAAGCCAGAGAGAGCCACACCAGTTACGACTGAGGGTTTCAAATGGACGAAAACGCTAACAGAATCCAATCCAATGGCTTTTCTTAATTCGGGGCACTCCAGGAGAACAGCGCTGGTATAATTCCCTAGACGAATCATATGATGAATACACCTGGGCCAGCAGCCACACAGCAGGTAACAACAAGCTCGGGAGAGAAGACAAAGTGAAAGCATGGACTAGCAATCCAGCAGGAAGCACATAGGGGGCAGGAGCCTTAAAACAGAACTTGACATCGAGAACACCCCTTTTCCAGTTAGACGGAAAACACGTGAGGGAGGCAATAAAGTCCAGTTCAATTTATTTCCTTAAAAATGAAAGGTTAGAACTAATAAGTGGTACAAAGTGTTGACGTGTTGAGCTGCCAACCAAAAGACCGGCCATCTGAGACCCCCAAGAGGTACCTTGGAAGAAAGGCCTGGCAATCTACGCTGGACAGACAAGTGATTGAGAACCCAGCGGAGCACAAGTCTACAACGAGTTGAAAGGCTTCAGTGGCAGTTTCAGTATAGGGTGTTTTTTTTGGTTGGATGAAAACTGGATAGTTCCACTGCTCCATTTCCTGGGCTGGCATCTTTCTGCTCTACTTGCTGTTCCATCCAGTTCTGCCCTGTATACTCCATCAAGAGGCAACATTGACAATTTGAGGAATTTCGTTTCGGATGAATAGGAACTTAGCTATGTGAATCTCGGGTCAAGTCAGGGGTATCTACACTCTATCCTCCATATTTTGTCAAGGGCGCCGTGTTCACATTCGGCCTGCACAGCACAAACCAGTGAGCGCACAGGCAGCAATGCACAGCCACAGAGACGATGCATTCAGCCCAGACAAACAGCTCGTGAGGGAATTCAATAAGGACCTCCCTTAAAGATTCTGACCTCAATGTGGCGATAGTTTCATTAGGTCTCATTAGGTCTCTTTGCCAGACGGGGACTTGGTGCTTACCGAAAGGCACACCCTGAAGGTCTAGAGACAGGAGCAGCGGGGTGGCTTTGTGCTGAATCAACCCCGTGTTAACGCGTGGCTCAGGCTCACACAGCCTCTATACAGAGAGATGGCTTCTGCGTGACTCAACTTCCTTAGCTGTAGATTTGCTCACTCTGCGTATGGACAGGGTGTGCGGTAGCACAGTGAGCATGCTGCCCAGAAAAGCGCAGCTGCCTGGGCTTATTTAAAAAGCACCATTAGCACACTCAGTCCTGTACAGTAGATTAGAAGGGCCAGAGAGGAAGACGCAGTCCCCACCTCAAACACTGGAAGTACTTCTTGGGCCAAGGTCTCACTGAGTCCCCAGCCTGCCCGGCTACCCTGCCGTGCCTCCCTCCTGCTGGAGCACTTTGAAGAGGGCTTTCGGTCATGCGGCTCTGGGTGGGATGTGGCTCTGGGGAAGTGCAGCTATCCCCTGCTCTCGGAGGGCTAAGGGCTTCCCACTTAGAACATTCTTTTTAAACCTCTCAAGCCGATAGTCATAAAAGTGTGTTGTGTGCCTTCCAGTGTATGTGTGCACTTCATCGTGGTGATTCGTGCTCAATAAACTAAAAGACCAACAGAAACAGCTATCAAACTTGGTCTCCTGGAAAATGGTCTGAAGTAGTCGGCACAACAGCAAATGCATTATCAGTTGATATCAGGTGAAGTCCGGTGCACTACTTCTATTGCCGGGAGTGTTCTGTTACTATTACTTCTTAACCCTCCTGCCCTATCCCATCACTCCCTCTCCCAGCACCCACTCTGTAACAGCTCTGCCACTGCTCTCCCGGCCGAGCACACCCCCACCCGCCCCCGCGGCTCCTTACCATTCCGTAACACTTTTATGGGCTCTGATGACGGAGGTCTCGATGTCTATTGGGTGATAGCGCATTCCTCGCAACTCCATGGCTTCATCCAGTGCCCCCACGACATACAGGGCATCGTGGCGCTCTGTGTAAGAGAGAGGGAGGGAAAACGCACCAGGTGAGCCCTTGCTGCAAGGCTACTCAGGCTGCTAAAGGAGTGAGGCAGAGGTGCAAAGCAAAGGGACCGCTGAGC